GGGGCGGGGCTCCAGGGGGCGGGACACGGGAGGGGCTCTCGGGGCGGGGCGGGGTGGGATGAGGGCGGGGCTCCCGGGGCGGGGGGCGCGCGGCGCGGCTCGGCGGGCGCGGGGAAGGGGCGGTGCAGCGCGGGCGGGAACGGCAAGCAGGGCATGGCGTCTATGGCGGCGGCGATCGCGGCCTCGCGCTCGGCCGTCATGAGCGGCAACCGGCCCCTGGACGACCGGGAGCGGAAGCGCTTCACCTACTTCTCGTCGCTCAGCCCCATGGCCAGGAAGATCATGCAGGATAAGGAGAAGATCCGCGAGAAGTACGGGCCCGAGTGGGCGCGGCTGCCTCCCGCGCAGCAGGACGAGATCATCGACCGCTGCCTGGTAGGGCCGAGCGCCCTGGGCCGCCAGCCCGGCGACCCCGGGGACCCCGAGGACCTCGTGCGCTTCCCTGGCCTGCGCGGGCCCACGGGCCAGAAGGTGGTGCGCTTCGGAGAGGAGGTGGGTGCGCGCCCCGGCCCGGCGGCCCCTGCCTGGGCGGCCGCGCTGGAAAGGACGAGGCGCTGGAAGGGGTGCGCGCGGCCCGGAGCGGAGGTCGGGGTGGGGGCTCTCCGGGCAGTTTGCTTTAAAGACGCTCCGTCCGGACTTGCTGCGCGGGGCCGCGCCGCACCCGGAGACTTCTCCCGGGGCTGAGGGCGGCTGCCCCGCCTTCAGTGTGGAAACAGCAGAATTTTAAGGCGGACCAGCGTGGCTGCTGATCCACCCTGCCGTTCAGCTGTAGGGCCGTGGGTGCCCTGAGCTCCTTAGTGCCTCAGTGACCCCGGGTAAACCGGGAATAACACCCACCCCGTGCCTGCCAGGGAAGGCACTTGGCAAATTATGTGCATTAACATTGATACTAATATTTGTGATGAGCCGTATGGGGAAAGTGAAATTGCCAAGGAAGAGGAGCCTTCCAGGATCAGGAGGAGAAACCCAGCCCTGAGATGTTTGTTTCTTGAGTGAGCACAATGGGCAGCTTTGTCTCGGGGGGAGCATGGTGGCTCCATTTTTCTACGGCAAAACTAAGAGAGAAGTTCCTCTGAGCTCCAGGAACTTCGCTGCATAGAAGGGCACATCTAAGTCTCTGACCTAGACACGGTGCCACACTTGGGGGCAGGAAGAAACTCAGGGATGCCCACTGTATCACAAGGGGCTGAGTGTTCTGTACTGCTCAGAAACTTGGTCTTTTTCTTGGAAATGTGCTTAACTAAAACCTGTTTGGTGCTATTAGAATTTGCAATGTGGCGGTTTGGGCTTTCAAACGCAACTTTTGCCGTGAGGGTCAAATTGAAAAGGACCAAGAAGTATACAAATGCAGCGTGTGCCCTGAGAAGGGTGTGGGCTGCAGGAAGGGAAGCTGGGTATTGAGAGAACTTTGCCCAGGAATTGCGGAGTGTGGAAGGAATCCTAATGGGGTTTAGATCTGGTTTCAGGCTTGGGTGTGCCGAGCCATTTGTTATTACAAAGTGCACATGGTTATAAGTCCACTTTAATATGAGGAAAAGTGTGAAAAGACAGATGCTTCCAGTGTTGCCTTCTTCTGACCATTAATAGAAGAGTCTCCCTTGGACTTTCAGCTCTGAAGGCTTTGCCAGGAAAGACAAGGGTGTGGGAAACCAGGGAGATGGAAAATACAGGTTTTGACTGTATTCCTAGGGCCGAAACATTTTTTCAGTGTGAAAGTGTGCATCACTGTACAGATGCTTGCTGCGTTTATGCTCAGGTTTGGGTGATGCTAAAAGCATGAGTATAAGTGAATCTGAGAGGAAATAAGCCTGTAAGTACTTAGAAATGTTGGAGAGTGACTGTCATTTTTCCTTAACTTGCTGTCTGGCTAAGAATATCCGTAGGCCTGCTTATCACCAAAAGGCTCGTGCCATATAAGGGCCTGATGTCACTGCTGACGAGAGATGTGGCCAAGTTACTTTTGTACTCAGTTCCTTAACTGAGGGCAGACTGAGCCCTTTCTGAATCTGTAAACCCAGTGAGATTTAAAAGCAAACGGGCTTGTTGGCTGTGGTACCTCCATGCCCTTCCAGGAGCGAACCAGCCCTATTCTTCAGAACTGAGCTCAACTTTACAGAGCAGGCTGAGAGCGTGCCTTGGGATGCCTCTGACCAGCCTCAGCACAGATGGCAGGGAGACAGGGAGACACTGCATTTGAGGGCAGGGGCACAGGAACAGCGCCCAGGGTTATGTTTGCCTGCCCTGTGTGCCTTCATGGCACTATGAAGTCTCATGTACATTCCCCAGGCCTGGCAAGTGGTTGGCGTGAAAGTGGAGTCTGTGGTCTCATGCCCAGGAGGAAGGCTGTCTGTGGAGGAGGGCTGGCTCCTGGTCATGTGGGCTGATGGACAAGAACAAGGTAGGGCGACCCCTGGGCAGGCTGCTGGGCAGAGCTGCGCAGGGAAGTGGCCCCAGGGCTGTCCAGAAAGTCCCTGAACCAGACTGAATAGAGAGAGCACTCTCCCCCTTTTCCCTTGATACATCTTTTGATGAAGTCCCAGGGCCTCCACAGCCAGTCACAGAACGCTGAGCCTCCCCAGGGCTCTCCAGCACCCATAGATGGACCTCCGATGGATGGGTGCTCCAGGGGACCTGCATGCCGCTCTCGCTTTAGTGGTGGTGGGACCTGAGATGATAAGCTGGGTGGGCCTTGTTAATAGTTAGATGAAGACCACCTGGTGTACTGTGGTCCAGGGTCGCTCCTAAGGCGATAGTAGAAAGAGCCTGAGCTTTGGGTTTGAATTTTAGGTTTTGATTTTGGCTCCCCCACATCCCAGCCCTTTGGCTGTGGTGAACCATGAGTCCCTCTGAGTTTCAGGTTACTCATCTCTGCATGGAAATCCCATTAACAGGATAACAGTAGAGGTAATGTATGTACAAGGCCTGAGTCACTGCTTCATGAAATACATTCCTGTGGTTGCTAAGCCTGATGTTGGAGGTGCAGAGCTGTCTGTGTGGGAAGTGGCCCTGTCCTGGTGGGCTGGGGTGTGTGGCTGTGTGTATAGCCTGCCTCCTGATCAGCAGTCACTCCAGCCTTGGGTTGAAGGATGAGGGCAGGGCGTCACCTGCGTCTTTGAGTAGCCTCTCCCCATCGCCAGCAGTGTGGCCTGTCTGACACAGCACTATTTTCAGTCAGATCATGAGACGGACTCCAGATGGGACCGTCAGCCAGTCACCACTGTGCTACACCAGTGGGAGGGGGATTGTGTATTGATGGTCGTAGGTCTTGGTGGCTGAGCTCACACATCCATGTTGCAGATGGAGCCACTCTGTACAGGACAGTGTGACCGTGTGGCCTCTGTGTGCGTTGTTACCCTCACTGCAAAGTGGGCCCAGGGCCCAGGCCCAGCTGCATGGGGAGGTTGGCTGCCTTTGAACACAAAGCCATGAGGGGACGTTGGCTTCCCAGTTCTTTCTCCCCTGGGAGTCAACTGAGCCAATAAAAAAAGGCCTATTTTATTAGAAACTAGGCATTCCAGCCTCAGCATAATCTTCCCCAGATCTTTTAAAAATTCCCCTTGGTGGGAACCCTCCTACACTGCTGGTGGGAATGTAAGCTAGTTCAACCATTGTAGAAAGCAGTATGGAGGTTCCTCAAAAAACTAAAAATAGAAATACCATTTGACCCAGGAATTCCATTCCTAGGAATTTACCCAAAGAATACAACAACTCAGATTCAAAAAGACAGATGCACCCCTATGTTTATTGCAGCACTTTTTACAATAGCCAAGAGATGGAAGCAACCTAAGTGTCCATCAGTAGATGAGTGGATAAAGAAGAGGTGGTACATATACACAATGGAATATTACTCAGCCATAAGAAGAAAACAAATCCTACCATTTGCAACAACATGGATGGATCTAGAGGGTATTATGCTCAGTGAAATAAGCCAGGCAGAGAAAGACAAATGCCAAATGATTTCCCTCATTTGTGGAGTATAACAATGAAGCAAAACTGAAGGAACAAAACAGCAGCAGACTCAGAGACTCCAAGAATGAACTAGTGGTTATCAAAGGGAAGGGGTGTGGGAGGTCAGTTGGGGAGGGAGGGAGAAGGGGACTGAGGGGTATTATGTTTAGTACACATGGTGCGGGCGATCACGGGGAGAACAGTGTAGCACAGAGAAGGCAAATAGTGAATCTGTGGCATCTTACTCCACTGATGGACAGTCACCGCATTGGGGTATGGGTGGGGACTTGATAATATGGGTAAATGTTGTAACCACTTTGTTTTTCCATGTGAAACCTTCATAAGAGTGTGTATCAATAATACCTTAATAATAAAAAAAAATTCCCCTTGACGAACATGATGTCAGCACAGCTTCAGCACCAGGCCACCAGCCGCACTGTCATCTCCCCCAGTTCCTCCCGTGCAGAGCATCTGGAGCTGCTGCCCCTGGAACATGTCGCTCCCTGGAAGAAGAGAAGGAGCACCCTGAGTCCCAGACCTGGACTCCAGCCCAGCCATGCCTCCAGCGAGGTGCTGGCCTCCTAGGGGATGCTGTCCCTCTGTGAGATGCGTTGCTCTCAAGGTTCACGGGCCTGGCTTGGAGCAGCCCTAGGCACTGGGGGGTGCCCCCTGGGTCAGGTATTTGCTATGGACGTTTAAGGCATGTTTGCAAATGGATGCTTTTAACAGCTGGACTTTCCCTGTGCTTCTCTATTACTGCATTTTCCGCCAGCAGTGAAGTCTGAGAATGGCTTACTTTGGGAGAGGGAAGGTTTTCGTTTTAGAAGGGTGTAGAGACCACCCCAGTCTGCTTCCTGTTATCAAATAGGAAGAAAACAACCTGAATTTAAGGGCTGTGTTGTTGTCTGCTCCCTGCCCGTATGCCCAGACTCATAGCCACCCATCTAGGAGGCTCCGAGCACCTTGTTGAGAGTGAGAGGTTCTGAGCTCGGTGCCGCATTCTCGGCTCCAAATGGGCCGTCAGCAGGTGTTCCTGGAAATCCAGTGTGTTTACTTCTCGCGGACCCCCCCTGCCTCTTCCACCTCTCTGTAGACTTGGTGGACCTGGGCAAGAAGTGTGTTCCCCATGCCAGGCCCTGGGACCTTGATCAGGGCTCTGCCTGCCGTGGAAGGCAGTTTTTCAAAGCCCTGCTGCCACGCAGCTCCTCTGCCCCAGCGGCCCTGTGTGCCCAGCTGCCGTGGGAAGGACGTGTCCTTCCCTGTGTGCGTTTGCCCTTCCACCTCTTGCAGGAATCTAGGGGCTTGCTGGCCAGTCCTGCTCTCCTCTGGGCCTTCACTTCCTTTTCTGGGAGTGGTCTTGGCCTCCCTGGCCCCCAGACATCCACACTTCTGCCTGAGCCAGCTCTCCCTTCAGCAGGCAGCCCCACTGCCTTTCCGGCTTCTGCTCCCTGGCGGCTGTGAAGCACGTTTCTCTGATGTCCTCAGAGGGCGGGGGTCAGTCAGGGGCACCCTAGTTCAAACTGCTGAACTTCTGCCATCCATCC